CACAAGGTATCATTAACTTTGGTATCACTAAGGACATAAGGAACTACTTATTCTTGTCAATTCTACCACACTATTGTTCTGCCTCTTGTCCCAATATTTCCTATGGAAAATGGACATAAAAATTCACCTCCTCCATATGTATGTCTAATTTCTATTTAGGTCCCTAATTTAATATCACAGAGAAATCATGAACTGTAGCATCTTGTTCTAGCTTGTGTCAGTGTTTTTGGATCTACCTTTAAGAGTTTAGGGCCACAGAATAGTTTCTTTGCTGGTTAAGAAAAGAAATATTGCCACCACATGATTTGCATTGGTCAAAGGCAGATTCATTCCATAACCCCTGTAAGCATTTTGGAGAGTAACTCTGTCTTCCTATGTGTTTGTGTTATCTAACACAACAGGATCCTGATCTTAATTGGGTCTTCTGGGAGATACCACAATATAAATAATCAATAATCCAGTCTAGTCGGAGGCTGGTATTGAATTAATTTCCTTCATGATGGCCAAATTGTCCTTCTTGTACCATCACCAGGACTGTTCAATGGCACCAACAGCAGAAACTACAAAAGCAACAGCAAGGTATATTGAAGTAGTTCCTCCATTCTATTATTATCTAACACTAATCAGTTTCAGGACACTATGTGCTGATCCACTAGAAGCACTTTACACAGAAGACTGTAAGATAGAAAGTCATTAAAACCTGCACAGTTTTTTGATATTTTAAAAGTCTCTCTATTATCAATTCAATTTTCAGGAGGGTAACAATAAATCAGTTTTTAAAATGTTGAAGTTAGCATAACATTTCTTAGCCCAGAAACAAATGATTGTAGTAAATTTGGCTTAAAATGACTAACCATGTGCACATTGTAAGAGAGAAAATGAACATGCTTCTTAAAAAATTCAGATGTTCTAGTACTCCTCTAGTATTCCTATAATTTAAAAATGGCATTAATTTAATACATCTGTCCTCAGATTCAATAGCTGTCAGAGGAATATTAAGCACATTCATGTCAGAGGAATATTAGGAATATTCAAACACTAGGGTATTTTAACAAGAGATTTAGAAATGAACAACAGTATATTATTCTCTCTCTCTAATTACACATAGGTAGAGAAACTTGAGTGATGCTATTGATTGATTCAGATATTAGAATTATTATTAAATTTTCCATAAACGGAGGGGACTCTAAGCTAGCAGATTGGTCTGGAAAGGTATAGAAAGAAGTGCCACTTCAGCAGCATTGTTCCCCTCCTTACTTTGAAAGCCCCTCCACAGATAATTGTGGGGTTGAGTAGGGGCACAGCTCTTCTCCACAAAATCTTCCCCTCCTGTGATAGAGGATATCCAGGCTTAATTTAATGCTACTTGAAAACAGAGGCATAGCCATGGGTGGGGCTAGGTGAGCTGCAGCCCACCCACTTAGCATCCAGGCCCACCCAAATCTGAGCAGAGGTGTAGTGCTGCCACAGTGGCCCAGAGCATCACTCAGGCACCTGAAATACAGGAAGAGTGCAGGCAGGGCTGGAGCCATCTGAATCCACAGGCTGGGAGGGAGGGAGTTGAACCAGGTGTGTGTGGGGGTGCCTTGTGGGGGCAGGTCTAGGTGGGGCCAGCGCTAGGGCCAGAACGAAGCCAGTCTGGGCGCCTAGGCACATGACTGGGCTGGACATGGGCAGGGCGCTAGAGACAGAGGCAGCAGTGCAGGTCACACAGACACAGAGGCACCAGGAGGACAGAGGGACGTGGCTGGCCGGGCGGATGGATACTGAGCCGGAGTTGAGAAGGGTGGGCAGAACTCTAGCTTGTGCACACCGGGCAGCCTCATCTTCTGGTGCCTGCTGAGTGGTAAGGGCCAGCTAGAGGGGGTGGGGGACACAGGCCCCCTGATCCCTCCTGCCACCCGCCCCAGGGCCCCAGATCCCTCCTGAACCCCCACAATCCCTCCTGCACCCCAGTCCCATCCCTGTACCACCAGCTCCAGGCTCTGCTATGCCCCCCAGTTCTGCTGCCTCACCCATGTCCTGCACCCCCCGGGTCCTGCCCCTTCCCCCCAACTCTGGCCCTTGGCCTTTGCCCTCCCCCATCCAGCTCCCCCACCCCAGTTTTCCCTCCCCTCTCTGGATAATCTCTCTCTCTTCCCAAGATGGCGAGGCTCAGGAAACCTGTTTACGCTGGAGGGTAGAGATAGGATACAGAGGGACCTAGACAAATTAGAGGATTGCGCCAAAAGAAACCTGATGAGATTCAACAAGGACAAGTGCAAAGGCCTGCACTTAGGACGGAAGAATCCCATGCACTGCTACAGACTAGGGACCGAATAGCTAGGCAGCAGTTCTGGAGAAAATGACCTAGGGGTTACAGTGGATGAGAAGCTGGATATGAGTCGACAGTGTGCTCTTGTTGCCAAGAATGCTAACGGCATTTTGGGCTGTATAAGTAGGGGCATTGCCAGCAGATTGAGGGACGTGATCATTCCCCTGTATTCAACATTGGTGAGGTCTCATCTGGAGTACTGTGTCCAGTTTTGGGCCCCACACTACAAGAAGGATGTGGAAAAATTGGAAAGGTTTGATAGCTACTTTCAACTACTTGAAAGGGGGTTCCAAAGAGGATGGATCTAGTTCTGGTTCTCAGTGGTACCAGATGACAGAGCAAGGAGTAATGGTCTCAAGTTGCAGTGTGGGAGGTTTAGGTTGGATATTAGGAAAACCTTTTTCACTAGGAGGGTGGTGAAGCACTGGAATGGGTTCCCTAGGGAGGTGGTGGAATCTCCTTCCTTTGAGGTTTTTAAGGTCAGGTTTGACAAAGCCCTGGGTGGGATGATTTAGTTGGGAATTGGTCCTGCTTTGAGCAGGGGGTTGGATTAGATGACCTCCTGAGGTCCCTTCCAACCCTGATATTCTATGATTCCCTGGCTGGGGGAGGGCGGAGTGGGCAGGGAGATGTAGCCTTTGGACTCTGCTCAACTGAAGTGGGGGGATCATTGCCTATTATCCCCCATCTCTGTCTTAAGGAATGTGGGGAATTTCAGCCCGAAGGGGGGGAACTTTTTTTAGCCGAGCAGTCAGCCACACTGGAGCATGAGGGTGGGGTCCTCGCTCCATGTGCATTATCAGCTTGGCAGGCGAAGCCATTTCTGGAAGCACCAGGGCTAGGAAGAGGGTGTGGTGTTGGGGGAGACGCTGAGCTGGCACTCTGCCCGCCCACACAAATTTCCACTCCTAGCTACACCACTGCTTGAAAGAAGCATTAACTTGGGCTCTGCACCTGCACTTTCCTTAGAGCAGGAATTTTATGTAGCCATAGGGTGCCTGGCCAATAGCAGCATAGCTCCTACAAGAGCCTGGCTGCTGGGGTGGGGGAAAGAGGAGGGCAAAGGGCTCAGTAGTCTGAGGCGACAGTGTAAATGAAACTTCCAGAGGTAAAGCTCTAATCCCCTTCCATAGCAGAGTACAATTTGACCATTTGAGCTGTGGTCTGTCAAAAGTACAGAACATGCAGAGATTTTCCATGCCAGAAACGTATGTGTTCAATGGGATATATTCTATCTACCTCATTGAGGTAAATAATGTTATATTAAGAGCAGAATCACCATCAGCACAGACTTTGTGGTATAACTGGTTTACTGTCCTTCTGGAAGGCTTATATTGGAAAAACATCAAGGCCTTTGAGGATAAAATTTATTGAGCACAAGAGCACTCTAAGATGTGAGGAATCAAAGTCCTGGTTGCTAAATGTGTTACGTGAGACACTGGCTGAGTTTCCAAATAAACGGTTTTCACTTTATTTGCACCTTGCCTCTGCTGTCACTAGACTCGTAGGCACCATGGTGATGGGGAGAGTAGAAGAATCTGTATAGAGTAAACTGACCATACTTCATAAAATATCTTTCAGTTTCAAACCTGGGATTTATAGGGGTATATAATGTGCACAAGTATTGAGAAGCTTAAAACTGAAATCCTCTTGGGTTGTAGTTAAGCTTATGTGTTAGAGTTCATAGGACCAGGGCATTCATGTTCTCACTTATTGCCAATTATTTACAGCAGAAGTGCTGAACCTGTAAACTGAGGTTACAAAAAAAAAAAACCCCTTCTATTAAATACATCAAACCCATAACATTTTAACTCTCCTGCACTATTTTTCTTGTCTCTCCTTTATTGACCTGTATCCGTTTGGTGGAACTATTCGGGCCTTGAGAAATTGAGAAATGTGTTCAGAGGAACATCCTGTAATTTAGAACTTTGAAATGTACTTTTTAGATTCTCAAAAATCAGACCATGTTTGAATTTTCATTTCTTTTGTATTGAATTTTTCCGTATGTTGACAGGTTGACTAATTTTATCTATCGGTAGTGCAACATTTCTACTACACTCATCAATATGTTATCTGAACATTTTGCAAAATTAAATTTATATTAAAAGGAGATCTCCAGTTCTTTCTCTTTCCCTCCCAGTGAGGCTCATGGTCATCCTAATCTTTTGTAAAAATTAGTTCCAAAAGTATCCTAGGCTCAAGACTGAGAGTTGAGGAGTTATGCATATTAAATTATAAACATCAAAACATCAAGGCAAAATATTATTGTAACAATGCCCAATTTTATAAATGGATATTCACTTTTGAAAAAACTCACGGAGAATGAAAATATCTAAAAGAATTTCCTCCATATGTATTCTTGTTTGGAACCTAACCTACTGTTTTTAAATCCCTCCACTTTCACATACGGAGCATAAAAATTAACTATGTATTAGCCAGTGTTATTCATAAGCCAGTAATTCATGCGTGAAATGTCATCCTTAGTCACATTAATAAGCCAATATCAATTCCAGAAAACTACAACTTTTTTCAGATAATTTTTCCAGTCTAAACAGTAAAGTAAAACATATCAGAATTTAATGTTATAAAATGTATCTTACCTGAGTGTTTGTGGAATGAAGCTGATTCGTGTCACTACAGTATCAAAAGTACAGAAACCGTAAAGACTTTGAATAAGAAAGGATACATTCGTATGGCTCCTGTTCTTGTCCCCACAGCCAGAATTTTCTGAACTGGGTCAAAAGCTAAGGCAGTGGGCAAATAAGGAAAACCATGGCGAACCGTCTGAAATAGAGCAAACAAACACAATTAAAGTATAGGACCTGTAGCATTAAATACACTATACATATCAACTGCATATAAGTAGAATCTACAAATTGATCAAAACTGTATTATTCATAATACATTTTATCAAAAACCTATTTTGAAGGATATGCTATTTAGAACCATACCGTTTATTTTTCATCAAAGCTATTTTAAGTTACGTATTTTACCCAGTAATATCATTGATTTTATATATATTTATAGTAACAAAGGAAATGACAAAATATGTATGAATGAAAACTGGTACATGTTGTTCATTTGCTGTATAGATATTCTTTCACACTATCAAAGACAGCCCTAGATGCCAACTGATGACATTACATGAAATGGTGCCTCAAAACACTGCCACAAACAGGAGCAACAGAAAGGAAATGGAATTAGAACAGGAGTTCTCAAAGTAGGGGTCTACTTCAGTTTTCAGGAGGGACACAATCATCCTCCTTTTCTTATCCTTTAATTAAAATATATTAATGTTTCTAGTCCTAATAGTTGCAGAGATAAACTTGAAAAAGTGAACTGAGCATAAACTGGTGAGTAATGCATGCCTGAATCTTCAGACACGCTGAAACAATAGCAACATAGCCCTTAAACTGGATATTGTGAACATGTTTTAGGAGGAGGTGAGGAATCTGCCCTTCTGATGTTGCCAAGTGGGAGAAATGCCCCAGATAGATTACAGTATGGAAAAAAGAGTCCTGTAGGGGAAATGTTGAGAATTACTGCACAAAAACGAAAACAAAATGTTTAATAAATTATAGCAAATTAACTACTCCTGCCATAGGGCTTCTGAAGAACATTGGCCTCATTACTGCTTAGTCCCCAAATTGCAAAAATCTAACCTATGTTGATGAGAGAGATGCTGCTGCCATAATCATGATTACAAAGATGTACAATAGTAACTAATTATTGTCGGTGATGTAGAAATTTAACAAAGACTTCAATCACTCTGGTTCCAGACTCTCTTTGGTTGGGAGGTCTGCTTTGCCACGTCTATGGCAGCATTACTTCAAAACAAACAGCGTGGTTTTCAGTATCCCAGCCCGAGTTGGAATATTGGGCAATACAAATCCACAGCTGTCATCAAACGTTCAAGGACCACCAAGATTTTGAATTGGGGCAATATTCTCTACTGTCTCTGCTCTTTGGTCCCCACCCCCGACCCCCATTACCTATTTCACGGACTTCCTTGATAACCGGGATTTTTGTGTTCTTGTGCATTCATTTCCTTCACTGTGAGAAGAAAGCATGATCCTGCACTGGCTTATTTTTGCTGTTAATAATTAAAAGTTCTCTTCTGAAGAAGATAATATATTTTTCATTTCCAGCAATTCCAGTACCAATAACATTTTCTTGTAGGGTTTTCCTGGCTAGAGTTTCCCTTCGATCTGGAGGCCTGGAAGGTCAAGGATTTTATAAAACCTGTTCTGCATTTGTGTCCATATTTTTAGCATTTTCTTTTTATTCCCAGTGTTCTTATGGTGTAAAAAGTCCGACTTTTCATTCATAAATAACCCTCAAAAGACATGTGGAGGGATGTTTGTGTATTTACATATGTATGAGTAAGGTTGACAATGTAATCAACAGTCCCTGTCAATGCTGTATTCTGATAGTTCAGAAATCAGAAGAACATCCTAGCATTTAAATGAATTGTAAACACAGGATATTCTTGGTATTCACCTCTCTTTGAAATATAGTATGAATGGTGGAGGCACAAGCAAATTGACTTATGTTATTTCTGTAGCTAAGTACACCTCTACCCTAATATAACGTGACCTGATATATCACGAATTCTGATATAACGCGGTAAAGCAGCGCTCCAGAGGGGTGGGGCTGCGCACTCAGGCAGATCAAAGCAAGTTCAATATAACGCGTTTTCACCTATAACGCAGTAAGATTTTTTGGCTCCCGAGGACAGCGTTATATCGAGGTAGAGGTGTACCGGTGATGGACCTCCTTCAAAGTCATCCTAATTACCTTTTGGTCCCAGAGAAACTCTCAACTTGCCAAAGAGGACATGAAATTGTATAAAAGAACCTTGGATCCTGATTCTGTCATCTCAGATCTGCTTAAGCTTCATCAGGGGAAGTTTGAGTCGCAAGACTGAGGTCCCAGTTATGTTGGTACGCCCTGAATATGAGATTTGGACATTGGACTATAATCTATTAACTGAATTCTAAAGGAACTCTTTGCAACTATAAAGCTTACCATCTCTGCTATGAATCTAAACCTCCATGAACTGAACTCATGTCTGTATGTATATTGATCTTTTTAACCATTTCCTCTCTCTTTTGTTTTTTAATAAATTTTAGTTTAGTTAATAAGAATTGGCTGTAGCATGTATTTGGGTATGATCTGGAATAGTCAATAACCTGGGAGGTAATGTGTCCGATCCTTTTGTATTGGTAGAACTTTTTCTTTTATATGATGAAATACGATTTTCAGAAATCATCATAATTAACTTAAGTACCTAGATGGAGGCCTCAGGTTGGATCACTTTAAGGGAACTGTGTTGTTTGGACTTCTGAGTAACCAGTAAGGTAATAAAAATGCTGTTGTATGCTGGCTTGGTAAATCTAAGGATTGAAATATCCACCAGCTTTATGGGGATTGTCTGCCCCATTCTTTGCAGTTCACCCTAATTGAGTGACCATACCTGGCCCCCACTGGAACCCTGGTCACAAACTGTATTTTCTGTATAGGTCAACATGGATTTTTTTACATTAAGTTGAAGACTCAATTCCAGGAACAGAGAAAAAGCCCTCTGAGTGGCTGACAGCATTCTTTCATAAGACTGACCCATGAACAGCCAATCATCGAGATACAGGAATACTAAAATCGTCTCTCAATGAAGGTAAGTGGCCACCACTGTTAGAACCTTTGAAAACACTCTTGGAGCTGAGGTGATTCAAAAGGGGAGAACTCAGTATTTAAATGATCCTGGTCTGTAACAAATGTTTGTTTTATTTTCTGTGAGATGGGTGTATCACTATATGGCAATATGCATCTTGTAGGTTGAGGGACAAAAACAAATCCCTTGAATTTAGTGAAGAAATTATAGCTGTCAGAGTCATCATCACGAACTTCTGAGACTTTACAAAATTAGTTTAGTAGTCTTAAAACTAAAATCAGCCTCCACCTTCCATTTTTCTTTGGCATGAGAAAGAACCTCGATTAGAAGCCCTTTCCCTCATGTTGAGCAGAGACAGACTATCATTCCTAAACAAAGAAGGAAGTTTATTGCCTGTCTCAGGAAGAGCTCGTGAGAGGGGTCCCCGTCGGCGATGGGTATAATAGGCCAGGGGAGGCTCAGCCTCCCTTGGCACTGCCGTGGCCGCCAGACCCCTGGTTGCAGGGTTTTGGGGGGTAGTTTTTATTTAGTATGCCTGTAGTGCGAGAAACTGCTACATGTAAGAATTTGCTACCTGTAGCAGTTACTCATATGTAAGGAATTGTAAAAAACTGCTATCTGATGTAGCAAATTCCTACAGATAGCAGTTCCTTGAACAACTCCAGTCATATGGAGGGGGAGGCTGTCTTGGGCTCCAGCCACTGACAGTCAGAGATCTAACCAACCAAATTAATGAGGCTACGTGAAAACCAGTAATATGGAATCCAGAATCCTGTCTGATTTTCTTAAGAACTCTTGCGGAGGTAAGAAGGTGAAGTAGTACAAGAGCATGTTAACTTATAGAGGCAGAAGAATGTCGGCTGGTGCTGCACTCTACCCCATACTTTGGGCTGTGCCTAACAGGCACAGTGTAGCCCTGTAGCAGGGTGCTGGTGCAAAAGCACCTAATTAGTCCCTGCCCAGTCTGCTCCAATCAGGGGAAGCAGATTGGGGCAGATGGAAAGGGCCTGATGCCAGCCTGAGGATTGGCAACACCTGCTGGCCTGACAAGCCAAGGGCTATAAAGGTTGGGAGGGAGCCAGAAGGCTGGGGGGGCAGCCAGGGAGAAGTCAGTCAGGGAGGGAACTGGAGGCCTCCTAGTTGAAGGCTGACTCTGCCAGTAAAGGAGCTGACTAATCCTGTAAAGCTTGTATATAGACAGATACTGGTGGTGGGATAACCTTAAGTAAATAAAGACACAGGTGTTGCACAACCCTGAAGCCTCTCTGAGCCTTATTGGGGGAGCAAGTGGGCCCCAGGAAGACGGCCAGGTCGTGGACCCTGTTACAAGCCCTAAACTACTGATACTAGAATAAGAAAATACCAACAAAACTAGAAATCATGTACATGATTAAACTATTTAAATAGCAGACAGCGGGGTCACAAAGGGAATCCTAAAATAGCAGCCTGTGCTCTGTGGATTGTAGGCACTACTTATTCTTGCCATGAAAGAAGGAGCCAAAAAGGGTGACAGAGAAGGCAGTGAGGAGATGGGGCTTCTCGCCACATAATCCCACCTTCTGCTGCCTTTTTTGGCATCTTGATCCCTGGAGGCAGAAGAATGGAGCAGTACCTGTGCTCCTCAGATCACATCTACTGTATACCAAATATATACAATGTTTTCTTCTAAACAAAACAAACCAAGTTGAGGATACAACTTTAGCCAAAATGCTTCTTCAGCATTTTGAATTCCTTTTTCAAAGGCAATGAGTTGGAATAAACTTTACCCCACCAATATGCATGTACATCTAATTAATATTCTTTATGCAAATAAATTATCTAGACTTACGTAGGAATAAGATTAATTGGGTCTGCCAGCGTTTCACTCATAAAACTGAAACATTACCAAAACTGTATAGAACACAACACAGTCATTTCAGTTCAATTAAGCTACACAGGAGATGTAATCAGATTCTTTTGTAGCTGTAGCAACAAAATCCCACTAGAATTTAGTGTGCATGCAACAATATAATTATTTATACAGTGATGATAGCTTCTAATAACTCTTGTCCTATGGTAAGATATATTAGCTTGTAAAGCTATTTCCTTTCAAAGTATTTTTGATCTTCCATAA